TGCACCATTGGGTTTCTTAGGAAAACTTATGGAGGAGCACCAACATCTCAAATGTCATAGCATTATATTATCATTTTAAGCACTGCAATGCTCATTTTTAATGACACTACATTGAAGCAGTTATAACTTCTAAGAGACACTAATTTACCAAAAAGATTTACACATTATGGCAGTGACCATGCCACATCATCCAACATCATAGTGAAGCCAACATTATAGCATCGAGGTGCTAGTTAGCTTTTTACTGTCATAGTGTATTCTTATCCAGTGCTGCGACACTTGAGTTTGATCCAATACTTATTATAAATAGCTTTTTGATCTATTATTTTGAGAGTGGAGTCACTTAAATGTAAATTTTAATTTGTTTTAGTATGTTTCATTAGTACCCTTTTAGAGTGAAGTCTAAGGGAGGATTGGAAAGTGTAAGATACATTCTCTATGATATCTAATCTATAATTTTATAAGAAACTCTATAAGTGGTAGAAGAAACTATGTAAAAAGGATCTTTTGGTCCTTCATGGTGATAAATTTTGTACTACTCTTATACTTTGTTCTTCTATAAAAAATAAATATGAGTTTACTTATCATTTATTCCATGTCTGGATAATTCTATTATTTTTGGTTAATGACATAAAGATTATATTAAATATTAATGTATAGTCTAGTACTACATCGAAAGTATTGATATTTTTACTTTCTCTCATTCATCACTTAAAGTATATAAATATCATGTGTATAGTTAAAACCTAGTGTGATATATAGCATCGATGGAGGAATGATGGAAAAATTAGGAATATTTAAATGTAACATTTGCATACCTATACATTGGATATCTGAATATTCTAGATTCTATGGAGATAGTAAAACTATAGGAAGACTAGAAATCTTTTTTTCACCATCACAAGCTTGATAAAGATCTATTGATGCACATGCTATGATCCACATCTACAATTAAGAGTTTCATCATAAACATTATGTAATTTACATGTATCAGTCTAAAACACTTTTTTAAAATAGTATCACCTATGTTTATTTGTATTTTCATTTAGTGGTAGGAAATTCAAAATCTCAATTTTTATTTCAGTATGATAAATTCATGCAATTAGAGTAAGTAGAAGTAGTTTGGTTAAAATTTAGTAGAACACTTCCCATAGGTTTCACACTATACTCTATCACTTTATTACTGATTCAGTATTTATACTTGCATAAATTAATGGGCTATAATAAATTTTACATCAAAGAAAATATAAGAATTTTTTAAATTTAGTGATTTTATATTTGCACACCATTAAACTCTGACCACCCTGCATAAAGTTTTTAGCACCATTGACAGGAAGTAATGTGTGAATTGCAATTTAATCTATTGATTTGAAACATGTACATATTTAGACCTAATTGTATCATGTATCTTTGTTCTACATGCTTAAAATAATTTAAAAAAATTTATTTTGATTGTTTCATTTTTGTTTTTTAGATAATGTATCATTTTTATATTCTTGGTAATTCTAGTAACGAGCCATTATTATGTGATCCAAAAATATTAAAAACCATTACAAAAATTTGGAAAATTAAAAAATGAAAAAAATAGCTAACTCAGTACAAGACCATGATCTTGCTAGACAACTTAAGGAGAATATGAAAAGACATACTATCTAGGCTAATTATTTTGAATTAAAACTAGCTATAATCCGAATGGTTCAAAATTTTTAGCTTGAGGGAACCTCTATTGAAGATCCCAACTTAAAATTTTCTAGTATCTTAAAAATCTATTCGACTTTTAAGTATAATGATGTCAGTGATGATGCTATTAGACTTAGTTTGTTCCATTTTTTTTTTAAGAGATAAGGCTAAATATGGTTGAATTCATTATCCCTAGGCTCTATAAACATTTAAAATGAGTTTCCATACAATTTTCAGCTCCGTATTTTGCCCAGTATGAAAGATAATAAATTTATGGAAGTTGAGTAAGAAATCTTCTTCCTCTAATAATAATTTAAGTCAATTTCTACTGAGTTTAATGGAAGGTTCGCTAACTTGCTAGATTATTTGAAACTTATTTCTGGGAGCGATGTCTAAAACCCTAGTCTTTCTTTCATGCAAACTATAGTGAATTTGGGTTGGGAACACTTTTATGAGGAGCCCTCTCCTACCATTGTCAATATTGTGATGGCATTTTTTGCTAATGCAAAAGAGGCTATTGACAATTAAATCTAAGATAGAGAAAAGTTGGTACTTTTAATTTTTTATTTCTCTTTACAATCTTTATAGAATTACATATTTTGAGTTTGATGAGTATACTACATTCTTTGGAACTATAATAAACCCTGAAGATATTTTAAGAGTTTTGTGTTGCCCAAATAGTAATGCTAGTTGGAAGAAGATGGAGAATAAGATCATTAAATTACCTACCATATTTCTTACTCAAACTTGTAAGGATTAACACTATTTCATCTCTACCCATCTTTATACCAATGGAAATTTTAATGAACTAACTCATGAGCGTGCCACTCTTAATTATGCCATTAAGGTAGGTTATGCTATTGATGTAGGAAAACTTATATATGTACTTCTAATTTCAATAATGATCTTATGTGGATGTTCAAGAGTAGTCCATTTATGGAGCACTCAAATCAGCATCAGTTTCCTTTAGCCCCTATTTATAATCCCTTTGTTTGGCAACCTAATGAAAACGACCATGACGATGATGATGATGATGAAAATATGGAGGATGAACTTAACTCTAAAAGTTTGGGATCATTGTATTTCTTTTGTATTGCATGGCCTGAGAGAGAGAGAGAGAGAGAGAGTTTATATCTGCTACTTTTTATTTGTAGAATATTTTTATTTATTTTCTTTTACATTTATTCACTTTGGAGGACATCCCATGTGTTCTTATAATGTTTAGTGATGGGCATGAGAGCCATAATGATTAAGATCAAGGGAGTGGTGCCAAAGTCACTAGTAATATCTTATAGCTTTCTTTATCATTCATGAATATGCATACTTTCTCTTATATCATTTTTCAATTAATATTAGTTCACTTTGTTTATTTTATGTTATTTACATCCAATAAATTTTCTTATGTTTAAATTGTCATATATTTTTCTCTATAGTTATTCTACTTGATTACCTATCTACCTAAATTAAAATTTTGATAAAAAAATTATACAAAGTTAAGATATTAATAAAACCCTAGGTTATAGTTTAATTAAACATTTCATAATAATTTATAATTTAAAAACTTAACAATTAACTAATCCAGATCTTTTAGGGCGCGTTTGGGACGGGTGTTTTGCTGCTGTGCTTTACCGAACACAATGCGGAGGTCTTTTGGGATGGACCAATGGTGCTCCGTTCTCGACAATTTCACGTCCCGCGGTTGCTTCTCACATCCGTGAAAAGCCTTCTGTGGTTCGCTTGCTTCCCGCTATTCATAGATATGCTAAATACGATAATGCCCTTACTGCCTCACAAATTTCCTCTATACCAGGCGAATCCTCCTCCGCTTCCGTCTCCGCCACCCTCGACAAGTTCCTGTTTGTCGGATAGGGAGTTAAGCAAGGGAGTTTGCTCACTGTGATCGGCGAAGGTTTTCTTACGGCGAAGGTTTGCTTAGGCACTCGTCTCCGCCACCCTCGATGCTTGTTGAATCAGAAGTTTAGCAAAATGAGAGTTCGCTCACTGTGACCCGATTGGAACAAACGATAGAAGATCTTGCAGTGAAGGTAGTCTTTCTTCCTTCCTTAAAGTATCATACCTGAAGCCCTAGGCGGTCGTCTCTGTCTCGGATCTCGATCTTGATAGAGTTGCTGGGAAGAATCAAGAAACCGTGGATATACGGTGATTACAAAGCTTAAGCTAAGAGAACTAAAGGTGCGAAAGCTTCTACATTTATCTCTGTATAACTTCGTGCTTGGTTTCATGGGTGGATCGGGTTATTCGGGATTCAATAGAATAAAACTGAAGGATTTGATGCTTTTCCTTATTTGTTCAATTCCAAAACTAGTATTTTTTATTTTCGATAGCGCATTCCCAATTGTATTGTGCCCTTTTTGCCATTTTCTTATATCTTCCCGCTGTCTCTAATATTAGCATATTCAATTTTTTTTCAGTGGATTCCTTGATAAATGTGCTGCCTTTGTCTGAATATTTCTTTGTGGAGATGATCGCATATAGTTTTGATTCTATCATTGCACCTGACATGTGATATTCTTCTTTTTAGCTTTTTTTGGTGAGATCGCCATCTTTTTTACATTTAGATTTTGTTTAGATCTGTTTGTTCTATAGGAAGAGTCTTAATATTAATGTAGTGGTTGAAAGGTTTTTTTTTGCCCAAGATATTGTTAAGATCTGGTTGAAAACGTAGGATATGAGAATTTTTTGCAGCATGACATTTTGAATTGCCCTCATCTGCAGGGTGATTGTGATCGATTGGATTTTCTCCGTGATTTTGGAGGAAATTAGCCTAAATTTCAAAATAAAAGCTTCCACTTACAGCGATTAAAAAATTCAATGGGTAAACCAAAGGATGGCGGGCCTTCCGCAACATGGGAGAAAGATGTGAAAATTATATTTTGTGATTTATGTCTAAGAGAGATTAAACTCGGCAATCGACCAACTACACACTTCAATAAAGACGGTTGGACAAATTTAATTAAGAATTTTTTTTAAAAAATCGGAAGAGAGTATGATAAAGTTCAGTTAAAAAATAAATGGGATCAGTTAAAAAAAGATTGGAAATTATGGAAAGAATTGAAGCGTGGATCCACTAGACTTGGTTGGAATCCTAGGAAGAAAACCATTGACGCACCTGATGAATGGTGGAAAGAAAAATTAGAGGTAAATAATAATTTTATACGTTTCATATATTAGTCTAATTCAACCTTCATGTTAGGTCTTCTAATTCCATAAATTGAATATTTCTGTCTAGGTAGTGCCAAATGCAAAAAAAGTTTAGATACAGTGGCATTGATCCTGAGCTTTAAGATAAGCTAGATCTTATGTTCCAAGGTGTTGTTGCTACCGGAGATCATGCTTGGACTCCAAATCAAGGACTTAACCATGACAATGATACTGAAGATTCTGAACACATTGATATGGGTTCTGAGTCTTTTGAAGATCCTTCACAAAATCTTGAAAGCATCAATGATTGTAGCCAATTGAAACGTCCTTCATCTACAACGTCAACAAGTAGAAGGAAAAGAAAATTTGGTTCAACATTTCTAAGAAGCCAAATAACTCAGCTTGTAAATTCTTGCACAAATATTACCTCTGGAATTAGTGCATCAAAGTCAGTAACTGATACTCCATCCCTTTCTACTGCCATTAAAGTTCTTGAAGAAACAACTAAAGCATTTGAAGATATGCCACTGTATTTGTTTAGTACAAAGCTTCTTGAGGATCCAACAAAGCGAGAAGTTTTTATGTCAATTTGTCTTGATCGAAGAGTTAATTATCTTCGATATTGCTACGGAAATCATGATACAACATCATAGTTTCCTGAATATTTATGTTTTTCTTTAAAAACATTAGTTTAGTAAATGTGTTTTATACATTACTTTTGTATTTTGATTGTGTTGTTCTGAACAGTTTATAATATTTTTTTTACTACAACAATTGAAAGATCTTACGTTTATCTTACGTGTATCTTATGTTTTTTAAATTGCAATGTCTTTCTTTTGTTAAAAATGAAATTGAGGACCTTCAGAGAACATTAAATGCTTTGGATATATAGTTTTACGATTTGATGCCATATTTTAGTAAATGTGTTTTATACAGGAATAACCTGCATTATGACTATTGTGAGTAATCTTGTGAGCAAGAGAGACTTTCTACAAATTATATAGCAGGCCCCAAATTGTAGATTTGCTAAACCTATAGAGCAAAATGTTTTTGCAGCAACTTTCTTTTTTGTTTGTAAAACTAGATCTATTTTCTGATACTATATCTTTTTAGGAAGTGATCTAATCACTTGGAGTAGCAGAAAACAAAGTCTTGCGATTAGAACTAGAGTTGAAGCTGAATTTTGATCTATAGTACATGAATTTTGTGTAGTACTATGGATTAAAAGACTTCTGAAGAAATTGAAGTTTTGTACAGCATGACGCAAAATCAATTCAATTTTTTTTAGTGCACAGTAAGATAGAGAAGAATGGCTTGATTTGGTTTGTAATAAAATGAAGATGACATTGCAGAGTTTAGTGGTTCATCCTTGGCGCAGAACGAGAATTTTGATAACCTTGGCTCTGATAAAGTTGAACAAAATTAGTCTCCTGAAATTGTTGTTGAGTGTGTAATTAATGTTTTGCTATGTTTTTATAAAGCAAATGGTGTTGGTAGAAAGTTAAAAAAACATTAACTTTTCAGGTTACATTTTCAAGTGCTGAGTCAAACTGGTTAATGAAGTAAGGAAAAATTAGTCTTTGAAAAATAATATTAATTTTGTATACTGGTTAATGTGTTGTATACATTAATTTTGTATTTTGATTGTGTTGTTCTGAACAATTTGTAATATTTTTTTACTACAACAATTAAAAAATCTTCCGTTTATCTTATGGTTTTGAAATAGCAATGTCTTTCTTTTGTTATAAATGAAGATGAGGACCTTCGATCTATTGTATGAATTCTTGTCATCAAAGTTGTATTTTATTTGGTATAACTGAGTTGGTTCTATCATGTATGAAAAAAAATAAATAAATATACTAAACTCAGGAAATTGCTTACCTTCTTGAAGGCTTATCCTGACATTACCCCTTTCGAAGGTTTGGCTAATGGCAGCATGGAATATCATATCCAGCTGATGTTGGCCAGCTCATTAGGAATATCAAGGCGCCCAAAAGTTTGAATATCATGAGTGGTAATGGTTGACTTTTTGTTATAGCAGCCAAGGCGAGAGCTCTCCTATGGAAGCTTTTCAGAAATTACATTGATGAAATGGTTCATTATGCTCATTGCATTGTTTGAGAACCAGGGGAACTAATTCCGGGAAGTTGAATTATATTATACTTGGAAGTTAATCTATGGTTGATTGTGCACGAATAATTTATCTTGCACAGTTGGGGGAAGAACTCTAAAGTTTTAGTTATTTGACATTGAATTGGGATGACGAAGAGTAGATTTATATTATTGTAATTGAGTAAATGAATGACTGAAACCTGTATGGATCTCCAATCATGAAATTCATCTTAATTTTTTTTATTTTGTCATTTTTTGTAGCCGACCCCATGTAGTGGGATAAAGGCTTGTTGTTGTTGTTGTTGTTGTTGTCATTGTTTGTTAAATCCTTTATCAAGGCAGAAATATCATATCCAGCTGGAAGTCCAGCAATATTTTACTGCATCAACTGCCTTACTGAAAAAGCTCTTCATCTTTGCAAAGAATATATTAATGAAGATGCAGATGTGTGGAGAACTTTGCTTATTCACTTTTTTGGTTGCCGATTTTAAATTTCTGTATGCATGCTCAAGCTTTCCATATAATGCACGTACTTGACTGATTTATTTAGTACTGGTCTTTTCGTGAAAAGCAAGATTGTTTGCTATCTTTTATTTGATATTTTTCTCTAATATATAGAACAAGTTCCGTAGGGCAGCATAATACTTGTTTATAGAAATAATCTATTAATACTTATTACTATCTATATGCAGGATTGGAATGTAACGAGAATTTAATTGAGTCAGCCGATATTGCAAATATTAAAAAGATTATACTTACAGCAATATGTGTTATATATGAGTATTATGAAACATATATTTGCAAGACACCGTGTTTGACATCGTCATCTAGAGGAGACAAATGGATTGGAGAGCTACTACATGGTCATCCAATGAGATTTCATAATATGTTTCATATGTCTCAAACAATTTTTTTAGATCTATTGTATGAATTGGAATGTGTTCATCATCTCCATGGATCATCAAGGACAATAAGCAGAGAAGTACTTGCGATGTCTTTATATATTTTATCGCATAATGAATCAATAAGATCCACATGTGAGCGGTTTCAACACTCTTCTGAGACAATCAGTATGTATTTCTCTATTGGATTGGAGGCTTTGGTGAAATTTTCATGTTCTGTGATCAAGCCTATCGATCCTCAATTTGGTGATATCCCAAGGAATATTTTGTATGATCATCGATATATGCCATATTTCAAGGTAATTTTTTTAAATATCATATTATAAGAATGTTTAAATGAATATAATATCTAATCATCGCTTCTTAAATAGGACTGTATTGGAGCAATCGATGGAACACATGTGGATGCTCGTGTTTCGAATGCTGAGAAAGCTGCTTATATAGGAAGATGTGGGTCAACGACGCAAAATGTTATGGCTGTATGCGACTTCAACATGTGCTTCACTTTTATCATGGCAGGTTGCAACAGAATCTGCACCTGATTATTTCTCAAAATTATATGCTTCCCAGGCGATTTCCCTCAGCATTTTGAACCGTTTATCTAATGTTTTAAAACTTGCTTGTGGACTGATTACACCACAAATCCCAGCTTTATATATTAGAATAATACTGCCACTGATTTCAGGACCATGAAGTTTTCCTGTAAGCAATAACTGAAGAGGCATGAAGAGAGACTTTCCCTGCATAAAAAAATCCAAACATGAGAGTTTTAGCGTAGATAGACTCACTCAAGGAAATTGATTAAGGTTGCTTATACGTCTCGGTGAGAGAACAATAATGCTCAACATGGCGGGGAATTAATTATTTCTAACAATTTAGCTTCCCTGAAAGTAGTATTAGACTATCTTGTTTTGTTTTGTTTACTTTAATCAAACATCTTTACATTCAGCCTGAACTGAAAACTTCTTTAATGAAGCATAAGCATGTGTTTTCGAAGAAATAAAAACTTGTAATACATCCTTCCAGGCCAAAGTTATGGCTTTGGCCGATTATAAATTTCTAGTAATTAAGGGTCTGTTTGGTATGATAAAAGTAAGTAAAAAGTAAAATTTTGATGAAATTCAAATTCACATCGGTATTTATTTTTTTGGTATTCAAAACTCCATCATTTTCAAAAAATTATAAATTCAAATTCTCTTAATATGCCCACCATCCTCATTGCCAGCTTCGAGTTCGACAAAAGCATATGGAAACATAACAAATTAATTTGAAGTATGATAGAAAAAGTTAAGTTAAAATTTTATAGTATTTTGATATATAAACTTATAGAAGATTTGATAAAATTAATTAATTTTAATTCATAAATGTTAGTTGATTATTATATTTATCTAAATGTATAAAAGGGTACCAAGGTAATTTGTTGTCATACAGCAGGAGCACAGCAACTCAACAGTTATACTACCCAAATAAAATGTATTGATTTTTGTACAGCAACTTTAATAAGCAACTTTCTGGACAACAACTTCACAACCTGCTTTACCGACAGCTGCAGCCGTCCCAAACGCACCCTTAGGCTATTGACTTAATTTTTTATTTAGAAAAAATAAAATGAACTTATATTAAAAATTGAATTAAAAATGAATAAATATGTTTAAGGATTAGATATGAGAGTCTTACATTAGAAAATGTATAATTAAAAGTTAAAATTGTAACTAGTTATCTTATTAAAACTTAAATTAATTCAATATGATTGTAAGAGTAGGAATACAAAAATTGATATTCAAAATAATTATGTTTGTACTTCAAAAAAACGTAAAGAGAAGACAAATGCAAAAAAAAGAAATTTAAATGAAAATTGTACAACATTAAAAAGATGTGTACATTCAAAATTTGCTATTAATTGAAGCTAAATTCAATTGCATATTATTACTTAACTGAGGAAGCATAAAATAAGTAAACTAGTACTTGTGATTGTATGCTTATGAATTTTTTATTTAAGCATGAGAAAGTAATTCATAGATTTCATTATTTATTCTATATTCACAAGTTAATTTTGTATTTTAAAAAACACTAAATAAATTCAAAATAGCAATAGGAATAATGACTTATTGAGATAAATGTAAAGCCTTTCAAATTTAAGTTATAACTTGTTAATTCTAAATTACTTCTAAGCCATACCATATTGTTGGAGGTTGTGCAGAGAAATTTTTAATTTCATAAAAAAATTAAAGCTCTGTCACCCCTAAATAATACTTAGCTGTTTGGAGATGGTGCAGTGAAGAAAATTAGTTTAAATGATTGGAAATTAATCTCTGATGGAGGGAAATCTTTAAAGGCAATCTTAAGGTGGAAAATTGCAAATGGGAAGTCTATTGATGCACTAAATGACATTTGGGTTTTGGACAAAAGTCTTAGCAAATGGTCAACTTTTATCACACAGGAGCTCAGTAATTGCACGATAGAAAATTTTATTGCAGATGGTGGCTGGGATATGGAAAACAATTAATAATTTTTTGGGATTAGAACTTGCTAACCAAATATGCCAAATAAAAATTCAACCTGAAATGGGAAAAGATAGATTGGAATTGATTTGGAAAAAATCTGGGAAGTCAATATCTTCCCTTATGTTTGATGTCTCGGTTTAGCATTCGTTCCCAGTTCAATTTTGGAACTGGATTAGAAAAATCAAAGTGAAGCCATGTGTGGAAGTTCTATGGTGGAGGATTTATTATAATGGTCTTCCTACTTATCATATTCTAGTATGCAGGAGATTGCATAGGGATGTTGGATGTCCTAGGAATTGCAATGAAGAAGAAAATATAGAGCTGTCATGGTTAAATGCATAAAATTATTAGATGCACTTTAGTACTTAATAAAATGGGGTTATGACATTCTCACTTTCACTTCTCTTCCCTAATGTTGCAGTTGGTTATCTAAAAGGAACTCCTTATAGCAAGCTTATATTGTAACACAGTTTTCTTCTCTTGGAAATCTAGAAACAACTGGATTCATAAAGGATTTGAAGACAGTTCTTTGGAAATTAATGCTAATGCCTTCAGCTATGCTTCAATGTCTATTCACAGTGATAGTAGGAACTCAAGTATATGGGGTGTTAATCAGCTGTCTAGGCTATCTAATTTGCATTGGCACCCTCCTCCACCAGATTGGATCAAGGTTAATGTTGATTCATGATTACTTCCATCATACAAAGCTGAAGTAGGAGGTGTATTTTGTGATCACAAAGGTAGATTTCTATTGGCCTTTGGGAAATCTTGTATTCATTAGGATGTTTAATCATTGGAGCATTTTGCTACACATTCTTTCAAGGAAGTGATCAAAGATTGGATTTGTGAATATAAGGGAATTATTATAGAAGAGGACAATGATAATATTATCAAGTTTCTTCAAGAGGCAAAGTTAAGAGGTAATTCATTCTTTGATGCTTATCGTTTTTTAAATAATTTTGATCATGTAATTTGTAATTGTACAGATAGAAGTGGTAATATGTTTGCAGACTTATGTGCTAACTATACACTTCTTAGCTCTTTTATTTGGGATGTTATTAGCTTGAATATGGTTCCTTCTTTATTTATGTTATTATTAAAGGAGGAATATGATGTTCTTTGTTTGTAGTTTGTATTTCCTTTTTATTTCTTAAGGCAATTTGTTGCATTTTCAAAAAAAAAAAAAAAACAATGCTTAGATTTTCTTTAATATAAAAAAAAGAAAACACCACTTAATATATGCAAGTATGCATACAAAATTAAGTGATAAAGTGATAGAGTAGAGTGTCAAATCCAAGATGAAGTTTGTTTACTTGCAACAAACTACTTCTATTTACTCTAATTGCAATAATTATCCAATTAAAATAAAAATGATAATTTTTGGAGATTCTATTGCAAAATAAAATATTAAAAATATTGGATAAATTATTTAATTAAAGTGTTTTGGATTGTTGAGTTTAAATTGCATATTTTTTCTATTAAGACTCTCCATGGTAATGTGTTTTAGAGCATATATATTCCTAGATCTCTGTTAAGGTTGTAGGGGTGAAAAGGATATTTGTTGAACTCTTATAGTTAAAGTATCTCCTTATGAACCTCAAATATTTTATGTCCTATGTTTAGGCATGCAAACATTCTATTTGAATGCTCCAAGTTGTCCTTGTATTCCTTCGTCGGAGATATACATTACACAAAATTTTAATTATACTTTTGGCCACTATGTGCATTAAATTAAGTGTGATATAATATTAATAAAATCTTTTAATTGTTATAGAACAAGAGTCTTCATTACTACTTAACATGCATTTTACATCATCAATCCAAAAAAATAGAATTAGCATGACTTATAATAAATAACAAGCAAACTCATTTTCATTAAACTTATAAAAAATGAAAATACAAGAGTGTGATATTCATAGTATCTCCTCTACACTCCTCACTTAACTTTCATGGTTTCTTCAAGAAATACAAACAAAATACTCAAAATGATTGTAGATTATACTTCCCTAGCCTCATCTAGTTTTTACTCTAAGAGCAAACTAAAGAAGTACATTAAGAAGTATTGAATATTACACATGTGACTAAACTTACTTATAAACATAAAATCACAACTATTAATAAAAAAATAGAATGAAGGCATCTAGCACTACGACACATAAAATAATGGCACCACGATGCCCTTAATGTGAACCAACGCCTTAGTGCAAAAGCATTTTCACCGCTGTAGCAGTCGCTAATTCACATCAGTTATTTATTGAATAGTTGCATCTTTTCATTAATAGAATGTGAACCTTGAAAGTAATAACTATAACAATACAGTGCTGTAGAAATTCGAGCACTATGTTGCCCATATGAAAAAAAATGTTGCCAATACATGAGAAATTATGACACTATAACAATTAAAAATATAGAATCTAGTGATGCCAAGTGGGCTTTCTGACAATGTGGTTGTGATAATGATGTGGCACTAGCTGCGTTGCGGCCACAACGTTGGTAAATAGAGACCTCGGTGCCCTAATTTTATAATTGTGGTACCTCGATAGTATTGAAGGTAGTAAAGTGGCATGGTTTAGTCAGATGCAGTGGTGTTATGGGCTACATAAAATTATTTTCTTTTATTAGTTTTTCTATACAAAATATAACTAAATTAACACATTTTCAATAATGAAAGAAATAAAATAATACATAATTTACACTTATCAAAATTTTTCCAACTTAATTTTTTTCTTATCCTTAAGCAAATAAAGAAATCTAAAATAATGAATATTTAAACAACTAAGCAAAAAATTGCTAATTTAGAATTACTAAAACATAGCAAAATATATCATTTTTAATTTAAAGGTCAATGTATAAATGTATAACTCATAAATTCAAGTTAAGTCAAAAATTTACATGATATAAGTTAGTTAATTATTACATTTCTTTAATCAATGGACTAGAAAGCTATGCTCATTTAAACTATGATATGTTGTTATATTATTATCCTAATTTTACATAATTTTTTTAATTTTTATCAAGCTTAATTAAATAATTATAAT